TGTTTTCATAGTTCAAGACATATTTTAGTGTAATTCTGTGAGAACTTGCTAGTTTTCCAGAAAAATATCAGTCCAGCAAACTCAACATGGTTAACTGGAAAATGTTGATTTTGCAGATTAATACTCAATTTTTCATTATAAAAAAGTCAATTAAATACTCTGTCTGGGATCAGTTTAATCAAAAGTGGAATATTCCACTTGTTAATTAACCTGATACAACTCAGTTTGAGTGAGCTCATTAACCTGTAATTTCCCTAATGTAGTACCTTATTTCACTGTAGCTGTGTTGCAGTCCTCAGCCTTGTCTAGGCTGGGATCCCTTGAGGGTTGTATCTTTTTTTAGATGAATACAATGATTTTACTCTCAGTAGATGATGTGGGATCTCATCAGAATCACATGACCCCAGATATAATTGGAGAGACAAAGATTTGTTAGGGCCTATTGGGAAAAAAGGGGACCTTGTCTTTCGTAGGCTGGGAGCCAGAGTGTTACTAAAAGGGAATGCTGTTTAAATGAAATTTAATCATTTAAATTTCCATCAGAACTGTACTTTTGAACTCGTAAAATTTTATGCAGAGTAAGTGAATACAGACAGCTTTTTCTTTTTTTGCAAGATGAAAAGCAGAGTTGTAACAGAGATCCTTCTTTCAGTCAGAATTACCAGATTTCTTTTAAGTAAAATTAACTAGAATATTTTGAAACCATGTGCTTGGAAGACATACAAACTAGGATTTTTCAGAGTTGTTTTTATTTTGCTGCCCTGGTTATAATGAGGCATTTATCACTGGCTCAGAAAGGAAAGGACTCAGGAACACAGAACCAAAAAGTATGATCCAGAATATCAGCTTCTGGTCCTTGCTATTGCAACAGCCATGTTATAAACTGAGAATAGACTCAGAGAATCATTTAGGTTGGAAAAGAGCTTTAAGATCATCGAGTCCAACTGTAAACCTAACACTGCCAAGTCCCACTAAACCATGTTGGATAATGGTTTTAAACTTTAAACTAGAAAAGGGTAGCTTTAGGTTGGATATTAGGAAAAAGTTCTTCCTGTGAGGGTGGTAGATCAGTGGCACAGGTTGCCCAGAGAGGTGGTGAAGGCCCCATCCCTGGAGATATTCAAGGTCAGGCTTGATGGGGCTCTGGCATCCTGATCTGGTAACATTGTCCCTGCTTACTGCAGAGGGTTGGACTGGATAAGCTTTAAAGGTCCCTTCCTACCATCAAGCAAATCAATGCTTCTGCCCAACTTGGTGTCATCTGCAAACTTACTGAAAGAGCACTTGATCCTCTCATCGAGAACATTGATAAAGACATTAAACAGAACTAGCCCCAGTACCAAACCCTGGAGAACACCCCTTGTGACCAGCCACCAACCGGATTTAACTCAACTCCATTCACCACAACTAGGATTAATTAGAGAAAAACACACACAAGTTTTGGGCCTTCCAGTTTCTGGTATCCAGATTTACAGTCCCCTGTGATCTATGCTCCCTTCTCAGAAAACACAGCAGACACATAACTAAGCCTGTGCAGAGCCAGCCTGGTTATGAGAGAATGCATTTGCAAGGGCTTGCATAACTGATGTTTCTACCTTACCCTTGGAAAGCCATAGAAGTAGTCAGTATCAAGTGCTTTGCTCTTATTGATGTTTAGGTGATGTTTAGTTCTCTCCTCAGCCTCCAGCAGCTCCCTGACACCGCTGAATTCCAGAGAGTTTCACATGTACCATCTATGGCCACTGCCCTTGCATGGAAGCAGAGTATTCAAGCCAGGTCACATCTCTTCTTTCTATGTCAGATTACTCCTTGGCTTTCTCTATCAGAATTGCTGCTGCAACAGGGTGAAGGCAGGACTATCAGAAGGATGAATCCTAGACACTGTTCTTGTTACATCTCTAAAACAGCCTATTCTATATTCTCTAAAGACTCTCCAGAAGCCTGGTTATGCATCTAGAAAAGGGCAGCACAGCAGGATAAACTCTGCCAAGTCTAAAATTAAACTTAAGAGGGCTTAAGAGATCAGTTATACAAGATACCCAAAAATAACTTAGAATAAATCCCAAGAGGAACACTGAAAGCACTGCTGACATCTTCAGTTCTCAGTGAGATGCATGTCTGCATGTTGAAGTATGAATGCGGTCTATAAATACCACCAGTGGTTACCACTGAAAATGGAGCCAGGGTTTCCAGTGCTCCAGCAAGAGGAACAAGTGAAGTGTTCCTCATCAGGAACAGACAGAGAAGTTCCACAACCTTTAGCAGTAAGCCAGGCACAATCCAGGTATCAGCCATTGAAAGTGAGGTGACCTCCCTCCAGTCCTTTCTTTGTCTCCAACCTACAATCATTCCCTGTGCTATGGTCTTTTTCTAGACACTCCAGCATGTTATTTAAACTGGAGGCCTCAGCCACAGCCAGCTCCCCTGGGAGAGATGGTGATCTGGGCAAGCTGACTTGAGGGAGGATGAGGATGCACATTCCTCCAAATAGCTCTGTACATCTGTTCTGCAGACAAGGCACCTGCAGCCATCCACTATGGTACCATCAGCTTCCTCAGTACGCAGGCATGTTAGAAAGGCCTTGTACCTTACTGTGCATCTGAGGGGCACCGTGTATCCCCAGCTCTCACAACAGCCTGTGCAATTTCTGTAGTAGCAAATGCCATTTCCCTTTGCCTATCTTGGGATTGCATGCTGGATAGGTATTTGTTAAAGTTTTCCAGTATTATGGCTCTAGAGTGCCTGCAGACACAGGTGAGAGATGGCCCAGTGCTAGCACCTTAACTTGAAGTCAGTTTAAGATAAAACTACAATTAAAGTAATAGGTTACATCTGAAAAAAGCCCATGAAAAACCAAACTCAAACCACAGATCCATATGGCTAGAATGAAAAATCCTGCTTAATCTGCTTATATTAAGTTTGTATCTAAGGGTTACTCTCTCTGTAGTCCCTTGATATTATTTCAGTGCATTTCTGACACACCTCACGCCCTAAAACTCAGAGTCTCTGGATGTCAATGATTCCTACTTACAGCACAGTATCTTTTATAGTCCTCCTATTTATCTTGATTTCTTGGTCAGGGGCCTAAAGTACACCACATGTGACAATAAGTTGAGGGAGACGAGGTTGTTCATGTTCCTACACATAGAGGAAGGATGACTGCAAAGATGACAGAGCAGCTACAGAATTTCAGGTTGGGCATAAGGAAACTTTTCTCCAGAAGGATGGTGCAGCCCTGGGACCAGACCAGGGGAGAAACTCCATTCTTGAAGTCACTGAAGAATGGGTGTCATAATCCTTGAAGTATTTCAAGACTTGGCTGGGCAAAGTCACAGCTGACCTGATCAGGTGTTAGTAATAGTCCTGCTCCAAACAGGAGGCTGGACAACAGACCTGCAAGGTCTTGTCAACACAACACTTCTGGGATGCTGTGATTCCTGTCAACAACCAGGTATCTTTCAGTTTGTTTGCCCCCAAACTGAATAACTTACTCATCTGACATTCCTTCTGCTCAGATATGGGCTGCCCTACCTACCACTTTGGAAACCACTTTTTTGCTCTGATAAGTCAACTGTTACTTCCTTTTCTCGACTGTCCTCTTGACGGTGCCTGGATTCACAGAGCAGAAGTCCTTCCCCCGCCAGGGAGATGTTGAAATGCTCATTTCAATGTCAGGTGAACCTTTAATTTATAGCAACTTATACATAGACAAACAGACTGCAGACTATGTACACAACGCATTTTAGCGTATTTAGCATAGGTTTAAAACTACAAAAACGAAGTAGATGTGGTAATAATAGCATTATAATAACAAATTGTTATTTCAGCATGGCAAACATTTGAATGGTTATGTTTATCTCAATCTCGCCAACAAAAACACGAGAAAGATTAACATTTTATATTGGTTTGTACATATAATTAATTACGACTAAGAAAAAATTACACAGTGACTTCAACATCACTATAGCATTTAACTGTTTTTTCTTTTTTAATGGTTCACATTTCCTAAATCAATCTTTTAACTGTGCAATTAAAATTGAGCAAAACTAATAAAAAAAACCTCCTCCTGAAGCTGTCTTTGTAACAATTCAAGTCTTAAAGGGCAAAATGGATTCTTCTCCATTAACTCTGGCAGTCATGCTGTGCTCTGATTCCTTGAGGCAGACACACTATTGGTCTCCTTGGAACATTGAAGGAAACACATACACTTGGTGTATGGATGCACCTAGAGCAGTGAAATTATTTTATAATCTCTGATTGCTTGAAGAAGTAAAAAGAAAGTTCAAAACATCCACCTTTAAGATACATTTCCTGCTCAGAAGCAATATGCTTCTGAAGAATGCCTGCAAAAACAGAGGTGGAGTCCTAAACAGTGGAAATTTAATTTACAATGATAGATGGATGCAGCAGCCACAAAGCAGAGGGAGTGGCACAGGGCTGTGATTATCATAGCAAGGCATCTGCCTGCTTTTAAAAAAAATTTTAAAAAATGCTATGCAATTGCTTAGCTTGTTTTGTGCTTCAGGTTTTGTCTGTCTAGTCACATGTGTCATCTCTATGTAGTGAGACATCTGAGTCCATGGCAATGCCTCCTGGCACTGGGAGATTAGGTCAGACCTTGGTGGGGCACAGGCATTGTCCTGACAATGAGAAGGGCAAAAGTGTTGATGAAACAGGGCTGTGCTCTCCCAATGCTAGTCCATCTGAAAAGAGCAGCACTGATCCATCCATCAGAGAGAACATTTTTCTTCACTAACTGTATTTCATACTCCTGATCAAGAAACTGTAATCCTAAGGGAAAGTCCAGCCTTGTAGGCGCAGTGACTGTGGTCTGGGCTGCAGGCACAGGTAAATGTCTGCTCTCGGTGTGAGACAATCTAGAGGTCCTGTAGAGTCTCAGGTGGGAGCAATGCTAGAAACACCAGTCAGAAAGAGGAGGCAGAGGAAAACAAATCAATTTCTGTCTCTTAAAATAATCCTTTTCTTTTAAAGGTGAAAAATGTCGAAGTTTTATTGACCTTGCCCCGGCTTCTGAAAAAGGTAAGACAATACAGTCAAGGCTTCTTCCCATTTTACAAATTCCATCAGTATTGTTTGTTGTCATACTTCAGTGCCAGGGGAAATGTTACTTCCTAAGCACAAAAGGACCTACATGTCATCCAGATTACGCAGAGCCAGGTATAAAAATGAAAAGGGTTTAAGACAGCTGGTTACTCAGTTTATGCAGATCTGCCATTTCTCTGATGCATTTTCTCTTCATTCAGCTGATTTTTTTTCAAGAAAATGAAGATTTTTATTGTAATACAGACATTTCCCTTCCTCTAGTGAGGGAGGACATGCCGCAGTGTTTCCTCAGGCCATGAAGACATTTATGGTCAGAAGACAGCAGACACAGTACCAAAAGTCTCTTTATGAGAGGGAATCATGTAGATGCTTTTTTGTTTGATGTAGCCTTGAAAAAAATATATTCAAATGCACAGAAAAAGGCAGGCTGCAAAGGTTTTCTCTATCCTGATACCGGGGTTGTAAATTCTCAATAGCAATTTAACCTATATTTCAAAATAGTATTTATCAGGGGAAAAAATGGGTAGAGTTCAATTAAGAAGCTGGGCAGCTGAGCCCATGCTGCTACCTGCTGAAGACAGAGCACTCTGCTGAAGAGGTGCATGAGCCTCGAAGTGTCCTTCACACTTACAGTGGGCTTCTGGAGAATCCATAGGACAGATGAAAATTCATGTTCGTACAAAGCAGCGATATATTTTCTTAGATAACTTGAGACAATCACAAACCTTTTGGGCATATAGTAACTTCATCAGGTCTGACAGAGAGGCAGTAAGTGGTGCAAGGAACAATTGTTCTTAATTTGTCTGAATTGCTGATCAGCTGGACAAATTGAAAGAGAAGGGAGGGCAATTACCATTAGTAAAGCAGTGAGAGAAATAGTAACAGAGGCAGTCTCTGTGAAATTCATTGTAAGTAAACCTAAATAAATTATGCACATAAGAGAAGAGCAATCCTGGGATTACTGCCACTAATTGGCTCTGAGCTGAATCTTACCCACACAAATGGGACCTTGGGGCATAACTGTTCTTATGAAACCACTAGCTCAATTCTCAGCAGTGGTCAAAAAACAGTTAGAAAGCATTAGCTAAGGACTTGAGAAGAAAGCAGAGTATCCTGTCACATGAGGACTGTGTACATCTGAAATCTTCCCCTTTAAATAAAATATTTTGTCCTTTTTAGTCCAGCTCAGAGAATGGCAGCAAGGATAATCAGAGTTCTGGAAGGTTCTATACAAGGATGAAACTAAGACTAAGACTTTCAACCTGAAGGAGAGACACGTGAAAGGAGATATGATGGACAGTGGTAAAGATGTAAGAGGAACTGAAAAGGCAACCTGGGGAATAGTAGTTCTCTGCTTTTCCCAGCACAAGGGCTATTTGGCATTGCATGACACCTTCAGAAGACAGACTCAAAACGAGCACAATGTGTCTGTTATATTGACAAAGGGATGTTTTTGTACTTTCTCAATTTTCTGTGAAAGTTAATTATGGTGCTTAATGCTTGTTGCATCACCCACACACTTTCCAAAACAGCATTTAGTGCTTTAAGTATTCTTTTTGGTTGTGTGAAACATTGTCAGCAATTTTTTTAGTAGAATTTTAGAGTTGCTGCACAGTGTTAGTGTGTATTTCTAGACTATTCACTTTTTCCTTTTCAAGGAAAAAAGAAACTTTTGTTGTAGTTTTAGTAAAGATGATTTATAGTTCTGAAGTCTTTCCATGGAGTTTTAAGGCATATTGACAGAGAGGAAATGTTCTGTCAGAGATGGAAAGTGCTGACTGTCTGATTCATAAACAAAACCAGGATAAAGTCCACAACTGTAGATCAAGTTGGACACTGCAACATAGTTAATCTGAATTTTTCACCAGTCTTGTACTGTCCACAGATACTTACACCACGTGTGAAGACAAAATTGTATCAGTGATGCCTCACTTACTTTCACTGCAGAATTCTTTAATTTCTTGACTTAATCTGCTCTTTTCCAGTTAGAAGGAACTTCCTACTCCTTGAATTTCTTCTTCCACTCTCTCAGCATTTACTTTAATGGTCAGGGGCTTGTCAACTACACAGCAACAGCCATTGCTGGGACAGATTCTTGATTCTTATTCAAAGTAAATAAGATGTGATAAAACACAGTGAAGATCAAAATCTAAGTTCAGTTACACAAACATACTGTGGTTTTCACAGTCCATTGTGTAACTGGGAATTTTTGGACTAAACTTATCTTCACAATGAGACTTCAGCTCACTCAGTTTCTGTACATAGCATCTTAGCATTACTTGCCACTAACAAGTGGTTGTTCAAGGTTTTATTTAAAATGTCTCCATGAGTACATGGGCCATAACTTCAACTGAACACTCAGGCTTTCCAAAGTTTTCTTTTCAGTTGGTTTTCCCTGCTCCAAAGAAGACCTCTGTCTAACCAACTTCTAAACTAGATACAGTCTGTAGAGGCCTGTGCCTACTTCTGAGCACATCATCTTCTACTTTTAAGAAATGCTAAAAGGAAGCCTAAGAACAAACATAGCCTAGTTGTACAGCCAGTCACTTCTAGAGTCCATCACCAATTATGCAAGTCAGTATAAAATTCCTTCATAATATTTAAAACCTTCTTAGCATAGAAAAGCTAATCACTGAAGCATTCACAGTAAAATAAAACCATCTATGTTGAGGCCTAGCTATATCCTTACCACAGATCTTGCATACATAAATGAAAATGTTTCTTATTCTTACTGTAAAAATGTAATAGCTTATGCGTGAGCTTCCTATCTTTAATCCATTTGTTCTGATCTCTAGTGTAGCTGGATACTATATTTCTGACCAGTTATTATACCCGTTGCATATATATGGCACCAATGACATCTACTAAAAGGAGGCAGCAAAATTTGGGGCAAACAGACCCACAGTATGGTATAAATAAGCCTTTCCAACCCACACTAAGAGAGCACTTTCCTGCATTTAAGACAGCTGCCAACAATCTGTCAGAACCTTGTAAGCCTAACATTGAATTTATTAGCTATCGCTGGTTGTTAGTGCCAAATCTGCTTAACAAAATCAGCTTGGTGATGGTAACTGGAAAAAAAAAATTGTGTTCACAAATATTTCCTATGACAGTGTCCATTCACTATTGATAAAGTATGGTAGGGCAATAGCTGGTAACATTGGCCACGGCTTTTAATGGGCTCTCACAGAGCAGATGTTGTTGGATCCCATGAAGTGTGCTGTTTTCTAATTTTCATTACAAATTTGAGCAGTAAGATAGCAAGTATTTCCAAAAGGAGTTGGAAGGGAACTGACACAGTAGGCTGGACCTGATCTTTCAGTTCTAAATTGCTCCTGGGATCTTCTCCACAAAACTGAATGAAAGCAGGAGTTGGTCTGAAGAAGAAAAGTGTAATCTGTTTAGTGCGGACACTTACGCATTAGAGCACAAAGCTTTTAGGTACTTGGTCCATTTTTGAAAGCAGCTTCCAGGCTTTTCTCTCCCTTTGGGTTGTTCAAAACCTTGCTAAAACATCTTTCTATCGAGCTCCCTGTTGCAGTGCCCATCCAGAACACTGAGGCTGGGACATACTGCACCCCACCTCTTCTCATCAGACCTTTTGAGTGCACCTTCTAGCTCCTCTTTCCTGTTGCTTCAAATCTGTGCCTAAGAGGACTTCAAAGAGACCATGGAGGATACATTCAAAAGGAAGAAACCAAAGCCAGATGCTATGTCCGGAAACTGTGGCACTGTAATGGAAAACAAAAGGTAGACATATGTCCCATCAAATGGTCTGATAAATGACTTCACTGACTATTTAACACCACAGCTTCATGCGTATACAGACCTGCTCCTCCCCCTGCCCAGAACTCTGTGGGGATTCAAACTCCCACATCCTTCTCTAAATGCATAAATGTCAGCTCTCAATCACAGTGCCACAGTGAGAGCTGGAGGATGAAGAGTCATGACCAGCCAAACTCCTTGTGTAAATGAAGGCTGGGATATAGTCAGTGAAAATCAGTTGAAAACAGCATTTGTGCTGGCAGGACTTTGCTGGAGAAGAGCAAGGGCTTGCAGGAAATGTGATGCACCCAAGAGTTTCTGGGATGTGGTTCACTGGGGCTGTGACTCAGGTGCTTTCCAAGCACCTGCTGTGCCTGCAGCATGTAAAGAAATGAGGTGCTCTGGCCAGAGTTGTACTATTGGGAAGTCACATCAGGAAGAGACTCAGAGATCAGTGTTGGCTCAAAATTTAGAGCTGGCTGCACCAACATAGGACAAGATTCACAGGACAAACTCCTTATAGGTATGATAGGATTACCATATGATATTGTACCATACGGTACAATTAAGCTACTCTAGTGCTCTGCAGGACCCCACTTGCTTCAGCTGTGCTATATATGGAATAATAGCCACAATGAATGGCCAAGCAGCAGGTCATCAGCAACTGCCTATGTTGCCATGCTTTCTACTTATTGGGAAATTCACAATTATAAAACAAACAAGACTTTTTAGAGACCATGCAGGTTGAGGCAAGGCAAAACCTTGCAGAAGGAAAAATGCTCATTACTAGTGAGCATTTAACATGTCCTAAATGTTACAGGGGATTTTTTAAATTAGAGACTGTACTGGCAGAGGTAGGAGATGCCTTTTGCATGTCCTCTGCACAGCTCATGATGATGCATCCTGTAGAGATGAAGCAATAAAAATTCTGTATTGTCTAAAAAGTAGCTGGCAAAACTAAGATAGCACATGGCAAACAGCAAATAAACAAATAAAGTCTCACCTAAACATAGCACAGAAAAAGAGAAAGCTCAGCCAAATCTATACATGCTTCTAAGCCAGCACTACAACAGCAATTACTGAGAAAGGAAACTAGATGCCTGATTTTAATGGATACTGACATAATAGGTGTACCAGAAATTTGATGGGAGAAAGATAATTAGTGGGACAATAATGTCTTGGTACTGATTACACCGAAAGACAAAGCAGAT